TATTTTAAGATACAAATAGCTTTTTTAAGAGTCAGAAATACTGTGTATTTTCTTTTAACCCATATTTCTATTTACTTATCTTATAGAATTTTATTATAAAAAATGTATTTGTATGCTCAAAAGTCCTACTTGATTATCCTATCATACTGCTCTGCAACAGAAAGGATATAAAAATTGAAATTTTGACAAAATTTCCTGTGAGCGAAGCTACTATGTGTTAAAATATTTCTTCTGGAATTGAGTTTTGGCAATTATTATTATGTATAATTGATCAAGACAACATGATTATTTATTTTAATAATCATTAAGTATAAATATTACAATTTTCTTGGAAATGCATCAAATAATGAGTTAAACTGCCTATCTATGAATTAATATGATTTATCCTCATAATGAACCAGGGTAGAGTATTGGTTCTATTCCTACGTTCATTTTTATGAATTTAACAAGGGAGAAAATTCATTCATATAAAGCAGCAGATGTGAATGGAAGCTCTGTCACAGCAAAATCACTGAATTCTTTAAATTCCTTCTGGGTTATAGGCTAAAAACCACATCATTACTTATCATCAAATAATATTGTTAATAATCTCTCTTAGCTGACATTTTAATTAGGTCTGCCTGAAAATTTGTTTTAAGACTAGAAAAGAATCTGTCACCCCATCATTAGAGTATTCATTCTCTCAATTCCTGTGAAGTATTCAGAAAAGATCTTATAAAGAAAGACTCATCATTTTCTTTCAAAGGCTTCTTTTTATCCTAAGACAGTGACACAGGATTGGGAAAACAGAAATACTGTTCATTTCAACATCTGCTGGCAGGAAAAAAAATTTTTTAGTATTTTAATTTTGTCACTTGTTTTAAATGTATTTCTGAAAAAACAAAACACTTCAGAGCTAAAGATTTACCTCATTTAAGGAGAATGTCCACCATTTTACATAAATGGCAAAACCAGCTGTTAAAGCCAAACCAATCAGCCACTGGAGGTTTACTTTTTTCAGAAAAATATGACTTCTCTAATTCGAATAAATATGTTAACATGTCCCCGCAAGCCCCATCTCATTTCTGAATTCTAATTCTAAAATTTTGATATCCTACAGACCTTTACATGAGCTTGTGACTTGGATGAAATAAGGCACTGCCCCACTTCAGCATTTCCCTTTTGTTTCTTACCTCCGGAATGACACTTTAGTAAGGAACAGAGAACAAAAAGGTAAGGTCATATAATGAAAACTCCTACCATTTTGAAACTTCAGAACACCTCAACACATGCCAATTTTGAACATGAGATGTTACCCTTAATATATATACATACAAGTGTAAGAGACTCTGAAATACAGAGACGTTTCCACTGTGGTACGTTCATGTCCTTGTTCCCACAGCTAACCCTCTCCACACCATCTTGCACTTGATCTTGGTCGCACACTGTCCCTCTGCACTCCTCTGGATAAAATCCAAAATGACCAAACAATGGCTGCTAATAGCTAAGAACAATTCCTTCTTCTTCTGAGTTTCATTCCTGACCGCTCCCCTTATAAAAAGTTATATGTTAGAATGTTCCTTTGACATCCTTTCTTTCTCATGCCCAGCATTTTAAAATAAAAGCTTACTCTTTGCTCTGACTGGTGTTCTTCCAAATAAGACAGAGAAAGATAGGAAGCTCTACCTAATACCTTAATTGAGGTTTCACTACTACCAGTAATTTATTTGAACTGTCCCTTTTTTCTGGACACCCTGGAGTATTTTCCACCTTCTTCTCCAGGGCAATACACCATAAAAATGCTAATGAGGCATCAGAGTATGTCCTTCTTCTTTAAAGTAGGAGAAGGGCAACTGAGAACAGGATATGATTTAAAAAAAAGGAAGAAGCATACTACTTTGCTACCTTGACCAAAGGAACTTTGTCAGGAAAGAAACATACAGAAGTTGAGAACTGTGAAAATGATTCCCATAGAATTATTTGCATACTGAAGTTTGAAGAGCACTGGTTTAGTACATCTAGAGCATAAATTACAAGGAAAAAAGTCATCATGAGCCATCTTCTGTTAGACAGCAGAATCACACCTAAAATATAACATGCACAGGAATTATCAGACAGCAAATATAAACGTAAATATTTTTTAAAGCATTTAAAGAAGAGTGTTTTAAAAACACAGTTAACAAAAGATTATCAGAAATGGCTAGCTGATTTAAAAACAAAATGAGAACATCTAGAAATAAAAAATGGAAATAGAAACTCAACAGATGGGTTCTACAATAGGATATGTGGAGGTGAACACAGACCTAAAGAAATTATACAGAATGTAGCACAAAAAGAAAATGGATACAAACTATGAAAGCATTAAGAGACAAAGAAGCTAAAGGAGAAAAATGCAACACATACCTAATTAAAACTGCAGGAGAGAAAAGAGATAGCAGAGAAGCAGTACTTGAACAGATGATAGTAGAAAATTTTCTAAATTTAATGAAAGACACCAACCTACAAACTCAGGAAGCCAAAGTGCCAAATAAGGTACACAAAAAGAAATCAAGGCCTAGAAAATCAGAACATGAACCATAAGGAAGAGATTAATAAATTGGCCATATTTTAAAATTAAAAACTTTTGCACATCAAAGGATTTCATAAATCAAGTGAAAAATCAAACTATAAACTTGGAGAAGACAATCACAACGCATATACCAATGGATCAGTAGCTAGATTATTAAGAAAAGACAATGAAATAGAAAAACGGTCAAAAGCAATAAATAGGTATTTCAAAAGGAAATCACAAATGGTTAATTAAAATATGAAAAGATGCTCAACTTTATTAAGGCTCAGTGAATTGCAAATTTCACTTGAATGAGACATCATTTCAGATCAGCAAAAATATAAGTCTAATAGCAGCAAATATGGTGAGTACATTAGCATTCATTTTACTGTTCCTTACATACATTATATATGTTCTTTAACATGCATATGTTTCATAACAAAAATATTTTTCAAGTGTCACCTGGATTTAGCAATAAAAATGTTTGTTCATGACCCTGCTGAGAGCAATTACAGTGAAATAATGGGCATGAAAACCAGACCACAATGGGCTGAAAAAGTTCTATTAGATAAGGATGTAAAGACAACTACAGACAATTATTTCAAGCTTATCTTTGAGGCTGGGCAGACAGGACTGCAACTTTAGGGGAATGTCACAGTGAGAGCTCCTTTTAGTTTTTGAATAAAGGAAACTAGGGCAAGTTTAGAAAGAAACAGCAAAAGAGGGAAGATAATGACACGGGAAATAAAGGGTCTCTGGGCAGTCACAAAGGTATATAATACAGAACCCATAAACAGGGATTAGATTTACACAGAATCAAGGGTTCCTATTTCATTGTTATAAGAGATAACCTCTTTGACTTTAATCACATCGTTTTTCTCCTTGCTCTATCACTCCAGTTACAATGGTCACCTTGATCCTCTTTCAAGCAAGACTTTTGTGCTTTTTTTGTGTACCCCCTCTATGGAGAGTACTCTTTCCCCGGTGATGCAAAGCCTGCCTTTCACTCCTTTCAAGTCTTGCTCAGATGTGAACCCAGTGAAGCTCTCCCTGACCAGTCTAAAAATGAAATCCCTTCCTCACTTCCTACCACCCTACTCCTGGTACTCCCTATACTTTCCCTGCTTTATTTTTCTTTGTAACCTTCTAATATTCTATATAATATACTCATTTTATTGCTTAATCTCCCCACCCCATAGTATGTAAATTCCATGAATGCAGGAACTGTAGTCACAGTTCCTGGTAATGCTCATACAGGTAGAATCTTAATAAATACAAGCTGAATGAAAGACTAATAGTCCCTACTTAAGGAACCTCAAAAACAAGTATAATGGAAAAATGCTGCTACGATTTGAACAAGCTGAGGTAAAGCCTTGAGAGTAATCAACTTACTGCCCACAGAAGTGGTGACATTTGAGTTAGACCCTGAATCATAAGGAGTTTGCCAATTGGAGAATAAAGGAAGAAGGTCCAAGACAGTGAAGAACGTGGAGGTTTGAAAGAGGCTTGCAATTTGAGAAATGAAAATGGGGTTACCTGGAGTATGGCAGGGATGACAGTGGACCATTTTTTAGCTAATCTTATAACGTCCACAATAGAGGACACATTATATTGAGCTTCTCAAGGCTAAAAATCCTTTTCAGAAGCTTTATAGTTGCTTAGTCACGTGTTTTATTTGCAACAACATTAGAGTATGGAATATGAAATAAAGTTTACCGAATCTACTCTCTTCACTGCAAAGGAAAAAGTGTCAACAAATTTAATCTGTGTTTTTCATCACCTGTAGATTATAAGCATCACAGTCAACCAAAGCAAGACTATTGCTACCAAATGTCTCAATCCCAGGTATTATTCAAAATCAAGACTATAAATTCTCATTGGTGGGACAGGGTAGTTTGAATGCAGAAGGGGGAATGGACAAATCCAAGTGCTTGTTTTGTAGCAGCTACTCTCCATTTATGAATTTTTGAATGCGCTTGCATGTTGTCCTAATTCACGTGCACTTATTACTATAGTTTCAACTAGTCTATCTTCCTTTTGTCCACATCACTACTGTCTTTGGGACACTTACCTTCGTTTTAGCTCCAACTCAATTACTTAGCTACCCAGGTTATTATCAGGATTCCCTGGTGGCGATAAGAGCCTCTTGTGTGTACACGCAGAAAAAAACCCTTAGAACAGTGTGTTCCAGAGTTCATGAGTCCAAGTATTCTGTTTAAAAATATTTAAGCACAAGACTGGGTAGGTCGTAGACACCATGGTCCTTTTGAAGTTTTGCCTTTCTGGGGCCTTCAAGGGGGCGGAGAGAAGGTGGAGATCCCTGAGGAGGGAGGGGCCCCAAGGGATTCCCAGGGCAGGTCAGAGGTCAAAGCTCAGATCTAAAGCTAGGGAAGCGGGGCCTGCCTCAAGAACCAGGGGGTGGTGTGTGGGCCCCGGAGGGTAAGTAGGGCCGCGGCAACTCGGAAAGACTCACAGTAATAGGCCACCACAGGGTCCCGCTTGTCATGCTCCTGAGCCGTCCTCAGATGATGCTGTATGCTCTTAAACTGTAGAGGCAGCGGGGGCAGCGGGGGGAGCGGAGCAAGGGCCGCCATCTCCACTCCAGGAACAAGCCCTTCTTACTCGCCGGCCACCGACACTTCCGCTTCCGTCTGGGAGGGTGCGCGCACTAACGCGCAGGCAAATCCCGCCCATTTTCCCGTTGCTCAGCAACGTCGAGGCAACTACGGGTTCCCAGCAGGGACAATCTCAGTGCGCCTGGCTCGTAGCAGTTATAGAGCCCAGAGGAGGTGGAGCAGCTTGGCTGTGATACCGCCTATGGCACCAGCGCTCCCTGCTGGCCGCTGGCCGGAGAGAGAAGAGATTTTGTTTTATTTCTCTTCTGTTTCCAGCCTCTACCCGCCTTTTGTGGCTGAAGGATGGGTAGAAAGGCAAACACAAAAAGAAAATAATGTTTGTTGATTGGGAGAAAAGGTAAAGACATGAATTGCCTTTGGCATTCTTCAGGAATTATCGTTTCCAGTACCTCAGATTAATTTAATAGCGTCCATAGAAGCTTTTCTAATTTTAGAAACTTTAAATTCAATTCTTGCGTAAGATGAGAGATGATGTGTTTCCATTTTAAATTACACTCTTCTGTATGGGCACATTGGATAAAATAACCAGTTACTTTTTCAACATAAATACTAACACATTAAGCTCGAAGAAAATTGAGCTTTTGTTCTGAGCTGGAGAGCATATACACCAGTGAATGAATAATTTGTAGATCGTTTGTTTCTGGAGAGTAATGAGAGATTTGCAAAGTCATTTGACAGCTGCTATCTTGTCAATGCACAGATAAGGAGTTCAGGTAGTAGTTCTTGCTCAATGCTGCCGACTCATACCATTGTAGGTAGGCATCAACTTTTCCTTCTACCATCAGTGACGTCATCAGTTCTTTTTCTCTCCTCTCCAGCCCATGCTATCAGGACTTTACACTTTATTTACCTCCTCCAGTAACCTTAATCTTTATTTCTTTATTTTATCTCACTCCCCAGTTTTGAGAGTTCATCTTAAAACTGGTTTTCATTGGAATCACACCATCTCCAAGAAACAAGATCTCAAGCTCTGAAATTTCCCTCTGCCTACTATTTTCTAACCAACACTCCACCCTATCCCCACCCCCAAGCTCAGCAGAACCTACTCTGTGTCCTTGTGTTGTCTCCAGTCCACATTTTTGTCTATCCCTTTTTGCAGAGTAGATCACCTTAGTTAGCGGGCTACCTGTTTTACAAGAAACTTGAGTTCTGTATTCTCCCCAATTTCAGCAACACATTCATTACCAGTTGAGAACGTATGTACTATGGACTGAATATTTGTGTCTCCCCAAAATTCATATGTTGAAACTGAATGCCCAAGGTGATGATATTAGGAGGTGGGGCCCTTGGCATATGATTAGGTCATGCAGACAGAACCCTCATGAATCAGATTAATACCCTTATAAAAGAGACCCCAGAGAGCTAGCTTGCCCTTCCACCATTTGCAGATACAATGAGAAATCAACAGTCCTCAGCTTGGAAGAGGGCTCCCACCAGATCCTGACCATGCTGGCACCTGAACTTGACCATCCAGCTTTCAGAACTGTGAGAAATAGATTTCTGTTGTTTATAAGCTGCCCAGTCTGTGGTGTTTTGTTATAGCAGCCGGAACAGACAAAGATAGTATGGTTTCTTTCTCCTGCTCTATTCCCACTATCCAATCAGAAGTTGCTAGATTGGTAGAGAAATTAATGAAGCAAAGCAGAATCATCTCTCTGTCCTTATGATGTCTCATTTATTCTTTCCTATTAGTTCTTGATTCTCAACTGTGGTTGTCCTTAAAGTTCACCCCAGAAAATTTTTTTAAATTAATTAATTTATTTATTTATTTTTGGTTGTGTTGGGTCTTTGTTTCTGTGCGAGGGCTTTCTCTAGTTGCAGCGAGTGGGGGCCACTCTTCATCGAGGTGTGCGGGCCTCTCGCTGTCGCGGCAGAGCACAGGCTCCAGGCGTGCAGGCTCAGTAGTTGTGGCTCACGGGCCCAGTTGCTCCGCGGCATGTGGAATCTTCCCAGACCAGGGCTCGAACCCGTGTTCCCTGCATTGGCAGGCAGATTCTCAACCATTGTACCACCAGGGAAGCCCCAACCCAGAAATTTTTTAAAAGCTCATGTCTAGGTACCCCCGCCCAGGTTTACGGATTTTACTGTTCTGAGTTGGATCCTAAATACCAGTATTTTTAAAAGGTCTTTAGTAAATTGGCACACTCAAGTTTGAGGGCCAGTGCCCTAGTGAATCATCAGTACATGGCTGATGTTTTAAGCCTTCTCCACTCTCTTCAAGTCAGATCCTCTAGCCTGATTGCCTTGGTTAGAAACTGCACTTCCTGCTACTGAAGTTCACCAAATATGAATTGTTTCACCTCTTCCATGCCACAACAAAGCAAGAATAACTAGCTAGCAGTTTGCCAAGTATCTACTGTGTATCGGGCATGTTTCTAGTTACTTTAAATCATTTAATCTTTACTACAACCCTGCAAAGAAGGTGTTATCATTTTCATTATTTTACAAGTGAGAAAAATGAGACACATAGAATTTATTTAAGTTGCACCAGGTCACAGCTAGTAAGTATGAGTGTAAGCAAGGTAAATATTAACAACATGAAGTTGATTTTTCCGGTTGATGATTTACAATTAAGAATTTACTGATATTTTACTATGAAGAAGGACCTAACTCTCTTCCATCCAACTCTGATCAGTTGCTGAAGGACCTGATGTCACCCTCCAGGTTGGGGCTAGAATCTTGGCAAGTTAGGGGAGGGCAGAGATAGGGGATAGGAGCAACCACAGGAAGAAGAAAAGGGAGAGAGACCAGAACTGACTGGTGTTTTGGTGGGAAAAGGTAAATGTTCTGCACCATTCCCTGGACTCCAGTGTACTCGTGGTCTTCTCACAGCAAAACTTTCTATTCTGATTGTGGTCACCAATATTTTGATGGGAAATGACAGGGCTCAACCAATGTAATGAGGGTAGTATATACCTATAGCTGTCTCTTTTGGGTACACTCTCTATGGTAGAAATTTGTCTTCCAGTATATGAGACTCACATTCTGATTGTTTAGCATCCCCTAAAATAGAGTTGTTTTTTTCCCCTACAGTTGCTATCAGAAGACTGAAAGAGATGACCAATGACTTGGCCAGGTCCATTTACACATCCATGGCTGAGACAGGGGTAAAGGTAAAAAAATGCTTTTTATTTTTTTCAACATGGATATCTGGTTGTTCCAGCACCATTGAATTAAATTGGAGAATTAAAAGAAACAACAACTATATATGTGCTGAACTATTTTTGGTCTCTATTGTTCCTGTAATCAATATGCCTATCTGCATACCAACCCTACTCTGTTTTGATTATTGTACCTTTGTAGTAAGTTTTGAGAATACATAATGTAAGTCGTCTACTTTTACTTTTTCAAAATCATGTTGGCTATTCTAGATCTTTTGTATCCCATATAAAATTTAAAAGCAGCTTATGAATTTCTACAAAAGCTTTCTGGGATTTTGACTGGGATTGTATTGGATCTACACATCAATTTGGAGTGACCGAAGTTATAAAAGATTAAGGTCTCTAAACCATGAACTTGGTTTATTGTTCCACTTATTTAAAACATCTTTAATTTCTTTTTTTAATAAATTATTTTATTTTATTTTATTTATTTTTGGCTGCGTTGGGTCTTCATTGCTGTGCATGGGTTTTTCTCTATTTTCAGTGAGCGGTGGCTACTCTTTGTTGCGGTGCATGGGCCTCTCATTGCGATGGCTTCTCTTGTTGCAGAGCATGGGCTCTAGGCACGCGGGCTTCAGTAGCTGTGGCTCATGGACTCTAGAGCGCAGGCTCAGTAGTTGTGGCACATGGGCTTAGTTGCTCCACGGCATGTGGGATATTCCTGGACCAGGGCTCGAACCCGTGTCCCCTGCATTGGCAGGTGATTCTTAATCACTGCGCCACCAGGGAAGCCCTAACATCTTTAATTTCTCTCAACACCATTTTGTAGTTTTTATTGTACAGGTTTAGCATATCTGTTGTAAAATTTATCTCTACCTGTTTCATACTTAATGAATAATATTGTAAATCTTATTTTAAAATTTAAATTTCATTTTTTATTGCTCTACAGAAATTTCAATCTTGATAACTTAATTACAAATTCTAGTAACTTTTAGCACATCCTTTAGAATTTTTTATTTACATGATTATGTCTGTGACTAAAGATGATATTTCTTCGTTTCTAATCTGTATATCTTCTATTTTTTGTCTTACTGCATTTATTGAATAAGTATATATTAAATATATATGTAATTTTTGTTTTGTTTAGTCTTATTGGCCTTCAGTTCAATGTTAAACAAAAGTGGTAAAAGTACACATCCTTACCTTTTTTCCCGATTATATGGGAAATTATTCATTCTTCCACTATTAAATAGGATATTTCCTGTAGGTATTTTTAGATGCTTTTTATCAAGTTTAGCTAGTTCCGTTTTACAGTGAGAGATTTGGGGTTTTGTTTGTTTGTTTCATTATAAATGGGTGTTATGTAATCAAATGCTTTTATCCGCATCTATTAGGATGACTAGGTGATTTTTTTCCTTTATTCCATTAATCTAGTTGAATTACATTAATTGGTTTTCGACTGTTAAAAAAACTTTTCATTCCTGGGGTAAACCCCACTTGAACATGATGTATTATCTTTATATATATTGCTGGATTACATATGCTAGACTATTTTTGCTAAGAGTTTTTGATATCAAGGTTATGCTGGCTTCGTTAAATGACATGGGAAATAGTCCCTCCTAGTTCCTGAAAGAGGTTGTGAAGTATTATTTCTTAAACGTTTGAAGGAATTCACCAACGAAGCTATCTGGGCCTGATTTTTTTTTCTGGGAAAGCTTCTATTTTAAATTCAATTTCTTTAATAGGTGTAGAGATATTCATATTTTCTGTTTATTGTTGAGTCAGTTTTTAGTAATATGTGTCTTTCAAGGAATTTTTCCATTTCATCTAACTACCAAATTATTGGTATAATATCATTCATGGTGTTTCCTTATAATCATTTAAATGTTCTGTTGTG